AGGCGTGTCAACCAAGACAGCCCAACAACATCCAGAGACTTAAGGTACTCAGGGCGGATCTCATCCACCCCCGGTGCCTTGCCACCGAGAAGCTTCTTGACTACCTCAGTGACTTCAGCTTGGGTGATGGACGAGTCCACCTCTGAGCCCTCAGCCTCTGCTTCCTCATCGGAAGACATGGCGCCGGGATTGAGGAGATCCTCGAAGTATTCCTTCCATTGTCCGATAATGTCCCCAGCTTTGTTTTTCTACTTTCTCTCTGTGGTCTCTGTTTAGAGCAGGGAGGGGGCTGCTCCTCTCTCACACAGGCAGTAAGTAATGCGAATGCTTGAAGTGTGACGTCACGGACATTTAACCAATCAGCGGTTTTCCTATAATGGACAAAACTCTTTGAACAAACTGCACAGACGACAGCCAGTGGCTGACTAATACATACGATCTGCACTTGTGCGGCTGAAATAACTCCCCCATCATCAGGTGGCAGTATCCGTATTCACCGTTAAAAGAGTGAAAGAAGAAGAACTAGCCTGTGGACGTATAAGCTATAAACAAAGCAGCTCTCCTTCAACACTGCTGCTGTTTATAGCTGCTTCTAATGGAGAATATGTCTGACAAGAAGTTGCAAATGGCAAAGCTGTTCTCTGCCCTTGGTCTTTAGGATGTAAAAGAAGAAAGGAGGTTGTGCAGGTGAAAAAAAAGGAGAAACTGCACTAAATGGGTGAAATCATGGACACTACAGACAGGCTGAAGGGGCTTTCCCAAACCATTCTCTTCTCATGCATTGATTTACTAAGCTCAACAGCTGATCAGAGTGGTCTCTCTCTCACCGACGAGGCCCGACACCGATTCAACATTTCAAATCATCTGAAAAGCCACTGAAAGGGACGACTAGTGTCAGTGGTCTGGGACACACGGGGGGGACAAGCCCCAACAATTCAATTCAATTTTATTTGTATAGTGCCAAATCACGACAAAGGTTGTCTCAAGACACTTGACAAAGTCTAGACCTTACTATTATTATTATTATTATTATTATTATAGAGGAAAAACCCAACAAGCACTGACAGTCTGACGGTGGCTGACTGTCAGTAGTATTGGTGCATCTACTGTATTTATTAAACAACCTTTAAAATCTCTCAGATATACAGTAGTGCATGTTAAAATGTTAACAGTATCGTTTAACACCGTTTTGTTAGTTTGTGCACACGTGATTTACTTGTGCACACAAATTTGTTTGTTTTTCTCCAGGACACCTGCCAGGCTCCACAGAATAGCAGCAAGTGGCTGCAACTCTCATTTGCTCTTTATCTCACACTGTGACTGAAAGATCGGACATTTCCAATGATCTAAATTCAGTACAATTCTAAACCTGGCTTCCTCTACCACTGACTTTAGGGTATAAAAATCAATCCAGCAGCGAGTGACTAAAGTGGTGGTTGGAGGAGCAAACAAAGATTCATCTCTCTGTCCCAGTTAATAGTTTTCTCCCTCTGTCTTACACTCAAACTCTGCCAAAGTGAGCAGTGAGAAAAGACAAAGCGGCAGATTAAGATGGAATTAAAAGTGCACCACATGAGGACTTTCTAATCTTATTGGGACTGTCGTTAGTGGAACACATGACCCGACACCAAAGCACCACCTGGGAGCGACCCTGAACCAGTCAAATCCACAAGGCCTCCTCCTTCCACTCACATCAGTGCATCTTCTCTCGCCTTCACATTTTATCTCCATTCTGCCTCCTCCCCTGTCTTATCTGTGCTCTTCTTTCATGTCATTACCTCTGTGGCGTTCCATCTTTCCTCATCCTCACTTAACCTGTCTCGTGTCCTTTCCTCTCTCCATTACCTTCAGCCCTTTTTTACTGTTGTCAGTGTATCTTCTATCCCTTTGACACTCACTGGCAACTGTCTTTCTTCCTCCATTTATTCACACTTTATTTTGAAGTCTTTCCATTTCTCATCTTCTCCCTCTTTTAGACAAAACTCTATATAATCACTCTATTTCCACTTGAGAACACTGTTTCTTTCTTTTGCCCTGTCATATCAGCCTGCTTGTATTTATCTTTTGTGTAACTTTTATTCTTTTCAAAACATTCAGATTGACCTTTTTGGTATCATGATTCCTGTTGAGCTAGTTGCTTAAAACAGAAACATTAAAATTAACATGGTACCACACAAACGGTCACACACCCAGACACACACACACACACACACACACATACACAAAATAACAAACACCCAAACATACACAGTCAAAGCAATACAGTGTTGCACAGTAACACAAACAGAGGTACATCAGCACAGTGACACACCCATACACACAGGTTGGTCTGCCTTCAAAATATATGTCAGTAAAAAATTTTTTAATCCTTTTAGAACTTTAAGCCATTTAATTTCTACCTCTCACTTTTGGATCAAGCCTTCCACTGTTTAAAGAAGGCTCTCAAGCTCTTACCTTCTTCTCATAATGAAGTTAAATTCCCAACTTCAGCTTTTTCATTTCATCTTCCATAATTATTCAGCACTGCATCCCAGCCTTCAGCTGTTTCAGACATGGATTTTAGCATTTTCAGGGCAATTCTTCAGCAATCAGCATCCACACACATCTTCTTCAGGAAATGCATTTGTCTAGTTAACATTATTAATTCCACCTGGGCT